GCTATTAGCCAAGAGGGGCAGAGATGCACCTCATGCTCTGGATGTCCCTAAACTTCTGACTGCCAGAAGCTGGGACTGGAGGACAGGGGATGGATCACTTGATAATTGCCCTCTGAAGCACCTGGCACCAGCCCCGGTCGGATTGGGATTATGTTATCCAATGTGCAATACTTTGCATTTATCAGCAATGAATTTCAACTCCCATTTTGTTGCCCAGTCACCCAGTTTTGTGAGATTCCTTTATAACTCTTCAAAGTCAGCTTTGGACTTAACTATCTTGAGTAATTTTGTATCATCTGCTAACTTTGCCACCTCATTGTTCACCCCCTTTTCCAGATCATATGTGAATATACTGACCAGCACTGGTCCCAACACAGATCCTGGGGGGACCTCGCTATTTACCTCTCTCCATTGTGAAAACTGACCATTTAGTCCTATCCTTTGTTTCCTATCTTTTAACCAGTTACTGATCCATGAGGGGACCTTCCCCCTTATTACATGTCTGCCTATACAATTGCTGTCAGGTACTTAGGGAAAATCTCTGAAGAGTTCATCGGAGGGAAGGAATAGGGTAGTGCATAAAATACACTCAAGGATGGATGTTCAGCCCCATTCACAAGGACATCAAATATGCCGAAGAGAAGATCTCTAACTGTCCGAAGAAGATGGACAATCTTCAAACAGGACACTCTGGTAAGAAGGGAGGACAGAACGTTCTGCACGGGACAGAAGGACAGCAGAATGGGGTGAGGAAGCAAACTGCAAGATTGGATGGGGTTCTGGAGGTGGTAGGCAAGACTCGACTGGTGCTGATGGTGCACTGGTGATGCACCAACATCCTGTTCTGGTATTTCCTAACTCCAGAGTACTGGACTTTGAACCTTCATATTCTTTTAATATAGTTTTTGTCTATTTAATTTCCTAGATTTTTATAAAACCAAACTGAACAAACAGAAATTCCATCATGTGGCATCATATTGACAGCCACCTGGGTCATCAGCAGGGTTAGAAGCCTCTAGAGCAGTAGTGGGCAACCTGCGGCCCATGGGCCGCACGCGACCCGTCAGGATAATCTGTTGGCGGGTCGCGAGACAGTTTGTTTACATTGACCATCCGCAGACACGGCTGTTCACAGCTCCCAATGGCCGCGGTTTGCTGTTCCCAGCCAATGGGAGCTGCGGGAAGCTAATTGTGCTAATTATTAAATTACTACTCTCTCTCTCTTCTTTTTGCACATGACACATGGAGTCAGGTCATGATCACTGTCAGCTAGGCAACCATTAATTGCCTAGCAAGGGGAATACTGAGTAGAAGTGGGAAAACAGTATTACCTTGGGACACAGATTGAAATACTGTGTCCAGTTCTGGTCTCCACACTTTAAACAGGATGTTGAAAAACTGGAAAGGGTTCAGGAAAGAGCAGCAAGAAGGAATCAAGGTCTGGAGAACCTTCCTCATAGCAGAAGACTTATGAAGCTCAAACTTCAAGCTTACCCAAGAGAAGGTTAAGAAGTGACTTCATCCTGGCTATTAGTGCCTACAAGGGGAAGAGGTTTCCAATATAAGAGGGTTCTTGAATGTAGCAGACAAATGTAGAACATGAACCAGTGGCTGGAAGCTAAACTAGATAAATTCAGACCTGAAATAAGACCCACATTTTTAACAGCGAGGGGAATTGACCACTGGGACAAATTGCCAACAGGTGTGGTGGATTTTCCATCACTTGAAGTCTTTAAATCAAGACTGGGCACTTCTTGCTCAGCTCAACTCAAAGTAATTGGGTTTGATGCACGAATCCCTAGGTGAGGGTCTCTGGCCTGTGTTATGCTGGAGGTCAGACAAGGTGATCATAATGGTCCCTTTTGCCCTTAGACTCTATGACCACACGGATCTATGTGCCATCTTCTCCACCCCCTTCGCTTTCCTTATTCCCATTTAGTACGTTGGCCAGTCATCACCAGCCCTGGCAGATAACAAGAGCAGTCCGTTCCAAAATAACAACGAGACTGATTTGAAAATTATGAGGCTTTGAAAAAATAAATAAAAGATGTTGAAGCTTTGCTCTGTCCTCAGATTGGTTAACCTTTAGGCAATGCTATCTGCTCACCAATAAGTGTGTGTGTGTGTGTGTGAGAGAGAGAGAGAGAGAGATTCTCCCTAAGCACGCACACAGCCTTCTGCCCAGCTGCTCACAGGGGATCTCCCTTTACCCTCCTGCTCTCCTTCTCCGTCCACAAACTCTGCCCTCTACTCGCTGTTACCAGCCCAGCCTAGAATAGCAGCCTGCAGCCACCCCCTCTGTCCTGGTTAGCTGGCGGCAAGAACCCCACGCCTGCCAGCCCTAATACAACGCCTGGTCCGGTGGTGTCTGAGTGCAGCACACAATTCAAAAGCACAAAGGCTCAGAGCAGCAAGGTGTTGTTCTCCCCTGCTTCCTCTGAGACAGCGGATCAGCGGCAAGATCAGGGCATAGCTTACATGTGTCTCATCACCATTACACTGTCTTACACCAACGTTGCTGAATTGGGGCCAGTAAGCTGCCATCACAAGTGTGAACACGTGCTGGGAAGCATGAAAGGCGGGGCAGCTAAGAGCCAGCTCTGCCTGCTCTCAGGGAGTGCCACGCAGAGGCGGATTACTGTTTTGTGGAGCCCTGGGCCAGAGCAAGTGGGGGCCCCTCCCTACCCCTGCCTGCCATCCCCTCTGCCCTCCCCGCGCTCCTGCCGGAGAGCGGGGTCGGGGCATGGAGGCTTCCCCTGCCCGTGCGGTGCTCGAGCCAGGGAGTGGGGTCAGGGCGCGGGGGCTTCCCGCACTCCCTGGTAGGAGCAGCAGGTGGGCAGGAGGAGCAGAACAAGTCCTGGGGGAGGGATAGCTCAGTGGTTTGAGCATTGGCCTACTAAACCCAGGATTGTAAATTTAATCCTTGAGGGGGCCATCTAGGGAACTGGGGTAAAAATCTGTCTGGGGATTGGTCCTGCTTTGAGCAGGGGGTTGGACTAGATGACCTCCTGAGCTCCCTTTCAACCCTGGTATTCTATGATTCTATGAACCCCACTTCACGGCAGGAGTTCTGGGCAGGCAGGCAGAGCAGGTTGGGGCATAGGGTGCCCATTTTCCCAAGGACCCCCAGTTAGCCAGGGCCCTAGCCCTGATTAGTGGCTGGCGCCACATTTGGGGCAGCCTGTGCCAGAGAGATGGTCTGGAACTGGAATTTCTGCTCCTCAAGAAATCCTGACATTAGGGGGGGAAATGGCCTTTCTACTCAGACTGAAAAGCCCAAACTAAAAAACATTCTGACATGTTTATTTTGATATTATTATTTATTAGATACATTATGGTAGTGCCTAGGCACCCCAGTCATGGACTAGGACCCCATTCTGCTAGGCGCAGTACGTTATTTATTAGGCATATTATGGTAGCACCTCGGAGCCCAGTCCTAGACCCAGAACCCAATGTGCTAGGTGATGTGCAGACACAGAACAAAATGACAGCCCCCGCTCCAAGGAAACAACCATCTAAGCCTAAGACAAAAGACAACAGATGGATACACATGGACTGACAGCGGAGTACAAGGAAACAATGATACAATACCAGCGAGTGTGATAGGCTGTGACCTAGTAGTCAGTGCATCAGACCAGAACTCCTGGGTTCTAGTCCCCCATCTACCACTGACTCACTGGGCAAATTTATTCTCTTCTCTGGTTCTCAATTTATCCCTAAGCAAAATGGGGATAATCCTACTGGCTCCCCCATATGAGATCCTGGGGTGGAAGGAGCTGTGGAAATGCAAAGGATGATAGTGTTGAAATGTTTCATTTCAACTTTTATAGTCTAATTAAATATTAAAAACAACACACATACCATATAGTTAGAGATACAACATTATGTCATCTATAAACCGATGCAATATTAAAATTAATATTTTAGTATCACATAAAAGTGTTTCCATTTCTATGGAGCTGCCTTTTTTTGACAGTAAACTCTTCTGACGCAACTTTTTTCCAACAGCTCTAATATTTGGCCTGCTCCAAGCAGCCACGGCATCAGGACCAAACCATAGAGGCCTCTTTCATGGTCAGGTGATATAATGCATTATCTTCTCAGGGTGAAATTCAGCCCCAGGCAAAGGGCTGTCCCATTATGCCCTATTTTCAGGGGTTACATGGAATTTAAGTAGCTCCTAATGCTGGTGCGTTGCTCTAGGGTAAATGTGAGCCTTTCAGACCAGGTTACCATCTCCAGCCATGCCAGGTGTGTCACTGGCACATGGCCTCATTTTGTTATTTTGCCAGCATCACTGATATTGCTGGTGCACGCGTAGTCAGAGTGCCAGGTCGGGTGGGTGGACAGTAAGAGCTAGGGGTGTGGTTTCCCTGCTCGTGTGCACATATTCGTGCTGGTTCTCATCACACACCAAGTATAGGCATAGCCACAGAGAGCACATTGCCATTCACGCAGGCATATAACAGGAGCCCATCGCCTTGGGTGCAAAATCAGATAGTTCCTGAATTCCACGGCCTACTTACACCACCTCAATGGCAGCACTTACACATGCCTCGTCAAAGTTACACCTCGCCAGCCCACGTCCAGGTCGCTAGGAGATCCCCATATCTCCAGAAGGTTAAACAGCCTGTCCAGCAGTGTGAGCAGTTACTGATTTGGCCTGCTTTGCTCTGGGACAGGATGGCCCCCAAACTGCGGATGCTACTCTCATGTTGATTTTGCATCGATTGCAATGTCTGCTGCCAACTCCTGATTTCCATCGGCGCGAGAGGAGAATGTAACGGCTAGTGCAACTCAGCATGGAATTAATTCATCACTATGTCAAGCCACTGCATCTGCTGTAGTAACTCTCACCTCCCCTAGGTACATAGGACCTGATTCCCCTCTTGCATTTTAGTTCCACTGAGGTCACTTTGGCTGCCTTCCCAAGCCACAGTCCTCTCCACCACACGCCGTCCCGGAACAAGCTATGCTCTGTGCAGTCGCATCATACTTACAGCTCCTCCAGGAAGCGCAGATGATGGAACGTGCTGGGTTGCAGCTCGCTAATGTTGTTCATGCTCAGATCACTAAAGGAGAAGAAAGACAGAAGTCTCTGATCATTTATTTTTGGTGGCTCGCACGGCATAAACCACTCCCTACTCTGCTGGCCGGGCTCTGGCGAGGGAGGATACGCCCTCGCCAAAGGCTTCTCAGCTCTAACATGGCAAGCAGAAATAACCTCCCAGGCTCTGGGGGAAAATATCAGGGCACAAAGCAGGACGAGGGATGTAATCATAGTAATTAATACTATATTCTTCTATAGCATCTTTCATCTGAGCATCTCAAGCATCAGTCGGTTTATGAAGCTTCCCATCAGCCCTGTAAGTGTTATTACCTCATTTCCACTTGGGGAAACCGAGGCACTGAGCGGTTTGGAATATTATTTCTTTAGACCCAGTAGTGTCCTGTTCTAGCCATTATCCATGCTGCTCCCTGCTGGGGGATCGTGTCCAGGGCAGCAGCACACACCTGCCCTGCAGAGGTGATAGCGAGTTGTTGAAGAGGGAATATGTCTTGGCCTGCTCTGAACTTTTAACAGCCAGGCAAAGGGTCACGACGAAGACTGCAGGGCCTGGAATTTGCTCCAAACCTGGAGGCAAAATCCATGTCCTACTTTATACACAGGTTTGGAAGGATCGGCTTGTTATCGGTCAATGTCAGTAAATGTCAATTTCACCAAGCACAAAGGATAAAAAAATATTTCCATCAACAACAATCAAAATTTACAGAGAAGTAAAGTAAGCAAAGTGCAACTTGAGGACTAATTAGAGCTTGATTTAGTGCTATTTACTTGGCATATTTTGACCTGTGATGTCGACAATTCATGTTTTAATGGTTATAAAACTTTAACTTTTTGAATCTCAATGTTTATTGTCATTAAATAATTGTCTGAACAACTTCTGTGAAAATCAGTAAATACTGAAAAGCTGCTTAAATATCAATATTATCTGTTGAAATTATAAACAAATAAAAATAAAAGTTGAATTCTGCCAAGCCTATTTATGCAGAAGAAAACTGCTTCAGATTTGGCTTTTCTCAAGTTCTGTGGCTTCTGGCTGAGGCCCCGTTTAGTATCTGTTTAATATCTGACACATTCACTCTCAGGAGACCAGATACTTCATTGGAAGGTGACGGATTTGACTGACTTCCATCTCAAACCTTTATAACATATCAGTCCATCATGTGCTGACCATACAATTAATAGTAACAAAACAGTGTTTGCTATTACATAGATCAAGAGTAAGTCTATAGCTAAAACTTTACATCAGGAGCTCCTAGTCATCTAGTCAAGATGGGGCACAATTCTCCCTGGGCAGATGGGCCAATAGAAAGCTGAGACACATGTAAATCCAACATGTAAAATACGGTGTGAGCTTGACTTATGTGTTGTGCAAGTTTTACGCATTTCACTCATCGTGTCTAAATACCAGTGATGGGTTCCCTAGAATTCCCTAGACTAGATTAGGTAGACAGGTCACCCTCTTCCATAATATGAGAATAAGGAGGCACCAAATGAAAACAAATGGCACAATAGAATATCAAGGTTGGAAGGGACCTCAGGAGATCATTTAGTCTAATCCCCTGCTCAAAGCAGGACCAATCCCCAGACAGATTTTTGCCCCAGATCCCTAAATGGCCCCCTCAAAAATTGAACTCACAACCCTGGGTTTAGCAGGCCAATGCTCAAATCACTGAGCTAGCCCTCACCCCAAAGGCAGCTGATACATGTTGTAAACCCCTTCCGCACCGCAGGGCTTGAACTAGGGCCCTCAGCATCCCAGGGGCGTGCCCAAACCTCTACACCAAAGAAGGCATCTCAAATGCAGAAATGGAAATACTCCCCCCCCCCCCCCCCCCCCCCCCCCCCCCCAGGGCAAAACACAGATGTTTTAGGCCCAGATTTTACTCACTCCATTCCCCAGCAAATCCCACTAAGTCAACGAACCTATGTAAGGATTTGACCCACTGATGTCAATGGGGATTTATCCCGAGGAAGGGGTGCAGAGTCGGCTCACTCCTACAGTAACTGTCCTGTGACATTCTCCCTTCAGGAAATCAGCATGGGCAATGAGTTAGCAGGAACTCAAGACAGGAACAGGCAGGTACGATTGTGGCTCCATAAAACTGTGCCTGTCCTGGAGGCAGTTCCCAGTGCCATTTCATGGAATCAGCTTGGCAGGGCAGCCCATGCCCAGGGTGCAGATGGAATTGTAAAGCTCCACAATAGTACAGCTGTGAACAGGAGGTAGATGTGCAGCTGTACTACAGAAGCTAGGCTGGGAAGTTACCAGGTGGTGTAGGAAAGTTTCCCCCCACAATGTCCCATTGTACAACCAGAGTGGGTCTGTGATCACTGCCATCTTGACCAACACACTGGCATTATAACTGGGGACTTCCAGAGCTAAAAGCAGAAGCTGCTACAGCTTGAACTAAAGAGTCAAGGCTCCCTTGCTGGGTGGTAACAGACTCACATCCCCTGTGGATCTGGGACACTCTCACACATCAAGGGGAGCAGGCACTGGCTGTTAGGGCTGGTCAACAAATTTCCATCTAAACTTTTTTTTGACTAAATACTTTTTTTTTCCTTTTTGGGCGGAAGAAAAAGGGATTTCTCATAGGAAACCTGAACATTCTATGGTTTTCAGCCAAAATTTGGTGGGTTTCAGCTGAAAACTATCCAAAACTGAAAAAAAAAAAAATAGCTGAAACTGAAAAATATTTGGGTTTGGGCCCCTGAAAAATTTCAGGTTTTGGATGAAAAGAAAAATCAAATTTTTCTCCTTAATAAAGTTTTCCCTTGTTTTATACACAGACTCGGTGCTTGTTAAGAGTAGCCAGTGGAGATCTAGCTGTAGCTTTTCCCTACCGGTGAGGCTTGAGCCCGTGATGTTTTGTAAATTTTAAAAGGAAACCCTTTTTGTTGCCAAAAACACCTGGCAGAAGGGTTACACTTGGACCTGTGAATAGGACACTAGACTGGCAGTCAAGACTGTTGGGTCCTTTTCCCAGCTCTACCATTGATTTAGGCTACAGTTTTCAAAAGCTGACTCTGTTTTTGATGTCCATCTTGAGACACCTAAGTTATAAATATTAGAGGAAGAGACTCATGGGGCATTCCTGCTTTTATTTATTATTTGGATTAGAATAGTGTCAAGAACGGTGCCGCATTGTGCTGCATAATGCATTGTGCATTGTGCGGCACTGTACAAACATATAGTGAGAGAGAGCCCCTGCCCTGCTCACAGTTTAAATGGACGAGAGAGGCAAACGGTAAGTGGGGAAACAGAGGCACAGAGCGGTGAAAGGATTTGCCCAAGGTCACATGGTAGGTCAGTGGCAGAGTGAGGAATAGGCTCCAGATCTCCTGAGTCCCATCCCAGTACCCCATCACTTAGACCGCCCTCCAATGACATCAATGGAGCTACAGCAGAGGTGAATCTCACCTCACTGTTATTTCAGCAGAAGTGCTAGAAAGCAGCTCCAATCATCTAGGCACCTGGTGGCAGATGCTATGGCCCTCCTGTTCCCTTCCCCCCACTAACTACTGAGCGCCAGTCTCTTCGCACAGAACCTTAAATAAAGCCTGAAATCATCTCTTTGGCCCCAGCCCATCTAGTCTGGCTCTAAACAAAAGTGATGCCGGTTGAGTGACACACATTCCTGGAATTGCCAGCTCAATCTCCCGTCCAGGAACCTTCCTTCCCCCAAACCCTGCGCCTTTGAAGGCAGATCCCATGAGCTTTTGAAATCCCCCACACGTCCCTCACAGCTGACTCTTGCCAATCCCCAAGAGCTTCACTCACCTTGCCTCGCGTGGTTACGTTGAGCAAGATTTCAAGAAAACAAATTCTAAATATTCACCTTAAGTGCTCCCGAAACTTGTATACACAGGAAAACGGAGCCACCGTTCATGGAAGCGTGATTCAGAGAGTCAGGGCTCATAACACATCTGACCCCCTAGGGGTAACTTAATATATTTATTTTGATGTCACTCACCTTTCACAAACAGGCCTATTAGCTGGCGCAGAAAAGCAGAAGTAAACGAGAGGGTGCTACTCTCCCCCTGACCCCAGGCCTCCCTGCCCCATATACACTGCTAAGACCATGGACAATGGGCTGGACCTGTTCCAACCAGAAAGACATCAAGGTTTTTTAAAGCAGTGACGCCATCAGTAGGGCAAAGAGATTTTCTCATTGGCATGAGTTTCCTCTGCTCTCTAGGATCTCTAACAAAGGGTGAATTCTTGTAGCAACCGGAGCACTCTGAATGGCAGAGTCGGAGCCAAGCAGACTCTCTAGGAGCGCGGAATGAGACGCTGAAGGAGTCGGCTATAAAACTGGGCACAGGAGACCAAACCCAAGCCTGGTGTAAGTGCCCACTAGTCCCGATGGGCGTTGCACCTGCTTCCACCACAGGTGATTTTGTTGAAAGAAGCTGCAATGTGAGGACCTGCAAATATGGAGTTCATGTCCACCGCAGCCACCGAGTCTGTCCTGAGGGCTTCCTAGGAGGCCAGTCATCGGAGAGGCTACAGCCTGACCCTTCATGTGTGCAGCTGAAGCACGTACCGCTTTGGCAGGTGTGTTTGCTTCCCCTTGCGAGCCGCGTAAGCAAACACAGGGGCGTGCGCTGTGCTGGGAAAAATCACGCGCCTGTTGCTGAGTCACGGGACCATCTTTTCCTCTAGGGTCATTTCTACAGAACAGGATGGTGAAGAGCCCAGAGCTGGGTCTGAACTACAAACCTAGATCCAAACACCGCTCGGAGGAAGCTCGGATGGATCCACACGGGCCCTGCTTTGTAGAATAGGCAGAGCCAACCCCCACGATCCAACCCTGGGGCCTGGGCGTCCCCTGGGATGTTTCCTCTCGAGTGCACAGTTTGGCAAAGCTCCAAAGGGCTGGAGGCTTGGCCTCGGAGTTCAGCCAAACCTTTGGGGCTGAGGAGGTTTATTGTGGTTCAGGGACGAGGCCTCCAGAGCTGGATGCTCCTGTCTGAGCTGCAAGCAGCAGCCCCCACAGACAG